CAACCACCACCTGGAGGTCGTGGAGGAAGAGGCGCGGCGGGACGGACAGTCGGAACGGTGCCAGGAATGAACCTGACCGTTCTATGTTTGAGCTATTTTACCATCTGGACCTGCGTCCCCCAGTGCATAATCTACCTGAAGAGTTTCGACCACAAGGTTCGGTGCCGTGACCAGCCAGAGGTGGAAGGTAAGTATCCCTTGGCTGGAGCCGTTTTAGAATGCGGAGGTAGGGAATCTCCTGGAAGACTTCGACGTCGCGAAGGCAGCAGGAGTGAAACAGGAGCGAAGTTGGTTGTTCTGCTGAGCCTCCTCAAAAGTAAGGAAGAAGAGATTATGGGGCCGCCTGAAGGGGCTCTGGAATGGGTCATCGTGAAAGAAGCGTTACTCACGAGGTTCAACCGCATGGCCGACTGCCTGGGTGCAATACGGCGATTCATGGAAGCCTGCTTTGGAGTGCGAGTGGGTTCGTTGTTCTTCGTGGTCTACTTCAGTGACTTGCCGGGTGGGCACCGCCGGAATTAGACGACGCATCAACGGAGCAACTGTCAATGGACCAGCTTCTGGGCTGTCTGCCTCCGACGACGATAGATAGACTGCGAATTGTAATCTGCACCCACAGAACTGAAGTGGCCGAACTTGTCCGCCTGGTAACGAATTTGGTACCTGAATCAGTCGCGACATTGGGAACGGAAGACCAGAAGACATGAGATGGGTGAACAGGCTAAAGAAGATTGCGCAAGGCGTCGGGGTACTTCGAATTTAACGTAAGAAGACACGGCCAAATGAACGACTCTTTCTGTGGAAAGATGAGACACTAGAAGCGACATTATCCAACAAAGTGCACTACACTCTTCCTGCCAAATAAAAGCTATAACCCGCATTATTCTCGTGTTGGATAGCGCATACATGGGGCGCTGAACAGTGGTGCGATTAAAGCGATGGTAGAGGTTACTGCAGAAACGGAGAGGTGTTTGATCAATACAAGAGTTGTGGTTCCCGCATCAATCACAATGGAGTGAAAACGATCTTGTTCCATGTCGGTTAAGCCGCGCGGTGGTGTGGCAGAGCATTTGATTAGTACCGGTGGTAGGAAATCCAACCACTTCCTCGTCGTGTCGTCAGATTCAAAACAGATGATCGTGGAAACAGACTTTCTTCAATCCGAGGAAGCTATTGTCGACCTGAAATGCGGAAAGATGACGACAAAATACGGGTTTATACCATACATTGGTAGAGAAGGATCCACACGATCGTACTTGGTCGTTGTCGTTTTAGACAAGTACGGCACAGCAATCGCCTGTCTGCAAGCATCACCTTTTCACAGATGATAGTAGGTCTTACGGGCTATGTAATTGGATCGAACACACAATTCCACTAACACAGCAGCCATTTCGACCGTAATGGCCCAGAAGAATATTATTTCGTCCTGAGGCTGGGATCCGAATGCAAGTGCAGATGTTGAATGCGGGTGTAATCGAAGAGTCACACAGCCTGGAAAACTCGCCTGTCCTTTTGGTGAAGTAGGCGAACGGAAAGTATCGCTTTGCGTGGAATTCAGAAGACTGAACAAGATCTCGCTGCGTCGTTTCGTGCCGGTGCCATCAGTCGCAGATATCTTCGACAGATCGCAATTCATGATATTCACGGTACTGAACTGAGAGCCGGCTACCGGCAGTTGGCGATCAAACAAGTGGACCGGGACAAGACGGCGAGAAGCAATACAAACTTAAAAGTATGTTGTTTAGATTGTCTGGAGCGCCGTTCACCTTTCGGCATTTGATGCTACGTTTGCTGGATGGATTTGAGAATGTGACCGTGTATGGAGACGACATTGTGGTATATAGTGAATTGGAGACAGAAGACTGCTGTCACATGAAAGCAACGTTACGAAGAATACATCAATTGGAATTGCGAATAAATAAGCCTAAATCTTATATCGGGAAAAGTTCCGAAACAGCACTGGGTGATAAGATGGGCGAAGATGAGTACAAGTCGCTGCAGAAAATATCGGAAACTTGGGACACCCCAGTTTTGAGCTCAACAAATAGTCCTCTGGCATTTTAGTCGCGCCAAATATAGTAAATTCGTCAATAATTTTAGCAGCATGTGTCACATTGTACACGCTACCTGGATGGCAGAAGTCCACAGTGGGTTTGAGAAGATTCAGAAGATGGGTAGGCAGAAACTGATGTTGAATTTGGCAATCGACGGAGTAACGTTCATGGTGGTCACGGACGCAAGCAACATCGGAAGCGGTGCGGTGCTGAAGTGTGAGACGGTTGAATATGCTAGCCGATTTTTAGCGCAGTAGGAACCCAAGTATACAACAATGTAGAAAAAATGCCTAGCAATTGTTTGATCGCTGGATAAGTGGTGGCCGCATTTCCTAAGTTTCAAGTCGTAACAGATCACAAAGCGTTGGATGGATTAGATCCTTCAAAGACCTCAGAGGCCAGTTGGCTAGAGGCATTTCCCCGACAAGAATGTGACTGCGTGATAGAGCAGATATCTGGAAAAGACAACGGAACGGCGAATATTTTTATCTGGTGTGACGAACGTGAATGATCTGTCAAGCGTTGCTTTCGGTGTCAACGGTTTAGGGCTGGAGCAGCATCCGAGAAAGTTGGCGGCTGTCTAACGAAAGGACAGACTTCGGGACAGGGTGATAACAGCACGTATGAGCAAGAATCAAGGTAAACAATTTGGGCAGTTCGCGAGGAGTATGGAAAAGCTGCATGTCAACGAAACCGGAATTCCGATGTGGACACAAGAACGAGGCGTCACCATAATGCCGGTGATCCCACCGAAATCGAGGAAAAGGTTAGTTACTTGTCAAAAGATGGCTCGCACAGAATGCACCAGGACATATGATTTGCTTAGACAGCGAGCCTACTGGCCGGGCATAGAAAAAGACGTTAGTACATACGTGCTCTGGTGTAAGTAGTGTCAGTTCTTGAAAGGAAACAATCGAGGAACAGAGCAACTAATACCCTCGATTCGCGTCTGAGATTGGTGAGTTGTGGTCAAACGACGAGGCCGTTCCCGTTAGCAAGATGGGGCAATCAGTATATACTCATGATGGCCGAGTACTTCACCCGCTGGATTGAAGGTGTCGCAAGTCCGAGTAGATGGGCTTGTACAATAACATGCCGTAATGAAACATATGATAGCGAGGCACGGAATTCCGAAGGACATGCTGACAGACCAGAACCCATGCTCTAATGATGACGAATACAGGACATGTTTGGAAAAACTAGGCACCAAGAAGATATGAACCGCTCCCTACCATCCCTATAAAAATGAATTTACAGACAGAAATAATAGGACGAGTAAAGAATGGCTGGGAGGTTTGGTAGAGGCTTTACTACTACAGTTGCTTGTTCACCGGGAGTCAAGGCACAAAGAGATTCCCATTCTAGTTAATGTGTGGTCACGGACCTCGACTTCCCGTAGACCTAGAGATTGGAGTGCGGCTGATCTGTCAATTACTGCCCAGGGAAACACGGAACAATAGGAAGATAGCGAGCCGAAATCTGAAGGCAGCTCAGGCCCAGATTATGGAAAAATCCCGAATCAACATGAGGAAACACTTAAGGAGACTTTTCAATAGGTTTGAAGGTGAAGTAAGTGGATCACCAACGTGCGACCGCATGTGGCCCCGGAGAGAGGAAACTTCTGCCGAAGTGTGAAGGAGCGCATGAAGCAATTGGTCCACGAGGCCCCGTATATACCATCGCTCGACATGGAGGTGGGCGGCGCGTTCACACTAGCGAATTGAGGAAGTGGTACAAAAAGCATGGAGCAGCCTCGAAGATCAGAGAGACTGCGTGCGTCGTCAAGCGAAGTAGAAGCGTTGGAGATGGAGGAGTGAGATGCACTATTAATGAATAGTATGAATAAAAACGAGTAGGCGTGATGGAATCAGAGAAAGCACGAATCGGTGCAGACGAAGAACGCATTGTGCCGAAATCAACCACCTTCGTTACATCGCGGAGGAAGGCGTGCAGTAGGACGAAAAGTAAGAACATAATAACGGGTGAAGTGCGCGAACGGACCGGACTAGATGTGCGTTCTGTACTACACTACTCGTCTGCGCCTCGTGCTTTCAACAATGCCTACCAGGCGTGTTAAATATGACCTCGATGCACCTTAATGACTATATGCCATAGGATCGAACACAAAAATACCGACTTGATGATCAAAGGGGGTGGCCGTATCTGACAGATGTCAGACAGTTCTGGTAAAAGGTACGTGTCAAGGACAATATTGTCACCATTTGCTATCCGTACACCCAAATCATTACGGAAGGTTTTGTTAGTTATTCTCAGGCAGAAGCAACGGTGCATAGGAATCCAACCCGGGACTTCTAGGATTTTAGAGTGCGAAATCGAATTGAAGGATATCCCGTCGAAAAGGAAACAAGTATTAGCAGCGGATAGTTTGTAATGGTGAACTCTAAATTCGATCTCGTTGTGTCCCCTTGTGGTTACCGAATCGAATCCCCTCCCAAAAAGCAAGCAATGTTCAACAAACAAACCAAGTTGAGGCGATAAATGATGAATATATGCATTGAAGAAGAGTGGTATTAGGAAAATGTCTGATACTGTACACACACCAGTCACAATTGAGTCGATTCGTTCTGAGAAGAACTTTGCACCAAGTACGAAAAATGACTGAAGATACTCACAGAAAATATGAGAGGATCATCTAAAGTGTGGTTGATGGGAAAACGTCTATAACTCGGGATGCCGTAGGTTGGGTCCATGTAACTCGACCTGAACCTGCAGTAGCTGCTTGAAAGCATAAGGATGGCGTTGGAACGCATCAAACTCCACATCATTCCATGGAAATTGAACGGTAAAACCAATAAAAATGAATTTGCACGGAATCCCTGGGGTGTTCACGAAATAGCAATCACATGACACAGACTAGTGAAACCCGAGTTCGTTTAATCAAGTTGCCTTCCAGCGTCATTTTTAAGTCACTGAAAAACTATTTAAACATTAGATACATGAAACCGACGCGGATGACAGACTACGATAAATTGGGAAATAGATATCCATACTTCACACGTGAGAAAACGTTTGTCAGGACAAGCGCGAATCTATGCATAGAGGTTACAAATGACGGGGAGACAAAGACGCAGGAGGTATATTTGCTATAGCAGCGCGGAATGAAAGAACGTGAATAAGCACTATACACCGTTTCAGTGAAGCAAAGAATATAACAATTGATGGAGTAGATGACAGAACCAGGAGAAGCGTATCATCAGCCAACGGAAATGACCGAAATCTCGAGATTGAAGGTAGGAAAAAAGAAACGTATCTCACGAAGCGCTGTAACAGGCGAATCTGTCAAAAGAGAAATAAGAAGATAAACGTGGCTAGTTAATTTTGGACATAAGTGTAGAGTGAAGCACAGAGGAAAGCATGCTGAATAATTTCCACAAAGATTGGCAAATATATATATATATATATAGCAGAAAGATTTACCGACACATTTCATGAACCGGACTCTTCTGCGGGATAAGATCGTGCACAGATATTCTTTTTAAACTAGTTTGCAACTGCATTTTGCACCATTAGCCGCATAGGCTTCTACACAACCGTACTCTTGCGAGTCAACGAATAATGCCACTAACACATAAAAGACGGCAGATGACCGCAACGACTGATATTTCAGTGTGATATAGCGTGACTCATCCTCCATTGCCATGCATATTATGAAGGTGCAGAGGATGGAGCTGAACCCCAGCGCCCATGCCTCAGTGGCATAAGCCGCTGGCACGCAAGTGTGAGGTCGTGGGTTCCAATCCGGCAATGTTTGGCGGGTGAGCGCAACTGACGAGTCCCACTAGGACGAAACGGCCGATTAGCACATTCCGGGATGTGTGGTGGCTGTATGCGACGAATCTTCACAAAATATAAAATAACTCTCCCAGTACTTCAATATATATATATATATATAAATATAAATATATATATATATATATATATATATATATATATATATATATATATATATATATATACAGCTGGCGGCATCCGGTTTCGGATTTGCTGGTCACTGTGGCCAGCCACAGGACGCCTGCGCCTACAGAGGGACCATGGGTGGTTTGCGCTGCACCACCCACAGCTCCAACCACACACCCCATATCCAGTGTAAACCCGAAGCAATAAGACCGGGAGGCATGCGGATGGGAACCACGTTTCATCAACGGAGCCGGCCCACACTCCCTCACAGACAAACACAAGCACGCTGTATTTGGGGAATCAAGCGCACACAAGACGGTGGCTGGACCGTAGTCCGCTCCACACTGAGTGCATGGAACCATTCTTTGATCCTAACACGGACACAAGGACCGTGCACCTCGTTCGCTCCAGCAACGACCAACTGTCTCTTGGAGCCAGTATGGACGAGGTAGTGGGTAATAGACACGTAGGCACCTTGTCACCATGCACATCAAGCGCAGCCACACAGGGGATATCAAGCAACAGCCAATCACTTGTGTGAAAAACAACAAAGAAAATAAATTGTCTACAAACGAATCCGAGATAAGTTCAAGAGGTCAGGAAGAATGTTTTACGGAAATGTTATCGAAATTAACTACAATTGGTTTAAGCGACGTGTGCAAGTTTAGAGAAGAGGGTACAGGTGGACATTTATTTGAGAAAGAAAAGCATTTAGGCAAAATTGAAAACCCACCACCTGAAATAAATAGACTTAGCATCCAAACACGCGGTTAGTAAATCAAATGCAGCGTACCTACAAAAGCTGCACCGGTTCTGCCTACGTTCTCTGCAGGACCCTTCGTGGTGGTCCCGAGTGGCCTCGCTCATGGCTCACTAGGACTGCCTGACTCAGGCACTCGCGACCGCATGTTTTACAGCACCATGCGCTCGTTGTCGATGAAGTACAACCCATCAGTGCTTGCCGCTTCTTCTCTGCATGTATGAGGTCATTCTCCCGCACTTCGGCAACTGCCTTCGTGATTAGATCCCGCCATGCACGCCGATCAACCGCCTTCGATTCCCGTGATCTGCAATCAAGATTAGAACGTGAGAGGCTCACTTTGATGATGTCCTGGTAACGTAAGTTTGGTTTCTCCACATGCCGCTTCCCAATACTCAGCTGACCATATCAGAGTTGTTTCGGTATCCGCGTCGAATCCATCCGGCTCACATGACCGAGGCACCTCAGGTGTCTCAGAAAAAGTATGCAGGCCACTGCATACATTCCACTTTGTCGCCAAACTTTCGTGTCAGCAACCCTGCCGCCCCAACCGATGCGCAAGATCCGTCGCAAACACTGCTGATGGAACCGCTCGAGATATCGCACATCCCGACGGTACATCGTCCACGTTTCACTGCCGCATGGAAGAACGGACAGCACCATGGATTTGTACACCATCAGCTTCGTGTCAATGGTAAGCTGATGGTTGTTCCACTCTCGGTACTCAAGGTTCCCGAATGCCGCCGCTGCCTTCGACACGCGGATACGCAGCTCACTGTGTATCTGCTGATCAGTCGACATCACACTCCCAAGGTAGCTGAAGCGGGAGGTGGTTTCCAATACTTCAACACCAATGCTGATTCGCGGCAATATTGAAGATTGCACCTCCGGTGAAGGCTGAAAGAGACAGACAGTTTTGCTTGTGTTGATGGTGAGCCCGGATTTGGTCGCTGTCGAAGCCAGAGCACTAGTCATGTGCTGCAACTCATCCGCGCTGTGTGCAAACAACGCACAGTCGTCAGCAAACAGCAACATACGGATAGTTGTCACACAGACTAGAGTTCTCGCACCGAGACAACGGATGTTCAACAACCCACCATCAATACGGTGCTCCACACGAACACCTTAAGCCCAAGCCGCATCAAAAGCACAAGACATAATGGCATGAAGATATATATTAAACAGGGCAGGAGCTAACACACAACCTTGCTTCACACCAGAGACAAGTGCAAAGTTATCCGAGGTCTCTCCACTCAGCTGCACCCTCGCTCGTATACCACTGTGCAGACATCCAATTAAACTTACAAACTTACACGGGCAACCAAACTTGCTCAACACCAGCCACAATGCCTCGCGGTTCACCGTATCAAATGCCTTGGTGAAATCAACAAAAAGCGAGTACAGCGGCTGATGTCGTTCTTTGCACTATCTCTGAAACTGAAGAGCCGCAGACTCCATATCTATAGTGCTGCGAACCGAACGGAATCCACACTGCCCTTCCGCCACGTTAGGTTCCACAATCTGACTGACGACGCGGTTGAGCAGGATTCGGGCAATCACCTTGCCTTCACAGCTCAGCAAGTTGATACCACGATAATTCGTGCAACATTGCTTGCTACCTTTGCCCTTGTACAGTGGTAGCACAAGGATATCCTTCAGCTCAGGAGGCACCTCCTCCTCAATCCATACATGTTGCATCAAGTGGCACAGCGCAGTCAAAAACGCGGGTCCGTGGTGTTTCAATACTTCAGGCGGAATCCCGTCGGCCCCAACACAATTGCCGTTCCGCAGCCGAGCAAGTGCTCTCTGCGTCTCATCCCGTGTCGGCGTATCCGCCAGATCCGCCTTCACATCGTACTGCTTAAGGCCGTTCAATGTAGGCCAGTCGATCTCTGAACGGTTGTTCAAGAGACAGTCAAAGTGTTTCCGCCAGATCCGCATTATGACTGCAGTCTGTGTTCAGGTAGCGCGTGAGATACCACCGATTAGTGTCCTCAATTGCTCTAATCTCCAACCATACACTGTCTTCACGGAGTCAAATAATTCATTTGTTGGCGGCGTTCGGCGTAGAATTCTATCTGTCTCGCCTTCTCCGTCCACCATGCATTTTTAATGCGACGGAGCTCTCGGGTCAGTCGCCGACGAAGTTTGCGAAACTGACTACTCTTCCCCAAGTCACTGGGGTCTGCGACATGTGCAGCAAATGCTGCATTCTTCTCCGACACCAATGCGCCAATCGTCGCATTGTTGTCATCAAACCAATCAGACCGCTTACAGTTTGCGCGCCCGATGGTCTCCTTGGCAGCAGCTGTCACTTGGTCGCGAATGTGGTGCCACAAGTCACGCGCTGTGGCTATGCAGTCCAAATCACACATGCGTGCAGCCATCGCCTTCTCCAGCTCAATACGTTTCGCCACAGTACCGAGGGATAGAATGTTAAATTTACGCTGATTCAGGGCAGGAGTGCAATACATGGATTTACGAAAATATATGTACAGTTTGGTCCGCACCAAGTTGTGATCAGTGCCACACTCAGCTCCATGCAGCACACGTGTTATGCGCACTTCACGCATATCACGCTGACGTACGATGACATAGTCGAGCAGGTGAGCGTGACCACTCCGTGGGTGCGTGCAAGTTGCTATATCACTCGCACTCAGTGCAAACCGAGTGTTCGTGATCCTCAGGCCGTGAGTGGCGCACAGTGAGAGCAGCCTGTCACCGTTCGCATTCGCTGAACCAATGCCATGCGAACCGATAACATCTGTCCACACCGATGCATCACGCCCAACGCGCGCGTTGAAATAATCCAGCAGAAATGGTCGGTCGCTCCTCGGCACAGACCGTATCATGCAGGATAGCTAACTGTGGTATTGATCACGTGTATCCTCAGGATAACGCATGTTCGGACCGTACGTGCTTATAAAAGTAGCAAACTTACCGCTTCCTACTAGGAGACGAACAGTCATCAGTCGCGTGCTGATGCCTGTTGGTTCACCCACGCGCTGGCCATTCAGGCAATCGGATATTGCAAATCCGACCCCATGATCACGTGGTGCTGAGGCAGTTGCCCACCCACTAGAATGTGTAACCAACACCTGCTTCATCCAACTTACTTTGCTCAGCGAGCCGAGTTTCACTGAGCGCCGCAATATCGATGTGGTAACGCACCAGCTTCATCGAGACCAGTGCAGTGCGTCGCTCTGGTCGTTCGCTGCGGTTCCGGTTCAGTAGTGGGTACACGTTCCAGCACCTGATGTTGAGTGCTTTGCGCGCAGGCATACGAGTTAATTTGTGGACAATCGCACGCGAGGTGGTCGTTGTGCTTCGGAGGTTTGCTTGAGGGACTCCACTCGGAGCATTTGGCTCAATAGCCTGACCCACAAGGCAGTGGGTGATTTGGAGGTTCGCTTGAGAGACTCCGCCAGGAGAATTTGGCTCAATAGCCGGACCCACAAGGCAGTGGGGAGCAGATCCAGTTGGGGAATGTGATTGCAGAGACAGATTGGGATCTGCTTGACGGTCGTCACACGCAGCCTTTGAGGTACTGGAACGACTCATATAGGTTTTGCGACCGTAGTAGGATACGCATCTACGACCACGGCCAGACGCAGGTGGG